AATGTCCCTCAATTTATATTTATCTGATATTTGCCATGATGAGATTGAGGTCATGCATTTTAAGCAAGAATACTGCAGAAGTGACGTTGCGTCCTTCTCATTGCATCACATCAGGAGTTTACAATGTCAATGCATTAACTTTGATCACTTGGTTTCAGGGAGGTGTTTTTTGAGGGGGCTGAAAATCCCTTTGGGCTCCTTGAAATCACATCTGCTCTGCCCCAGAAGGCAAGTCCTGAAGCCAGGAGTCCAACACCCCAGTTTCATTCTCTCTCTCAGCCCCAGTGACCTTGATTCACCAACATCCAGCCTGCGTCGCAGCCCGTCATTGCAATCAAGTGGAGACAGAGTCGGTGGGAGACGTGACTTATCCAGCCCACAGGGACTGCTACTTGGGAGACCTGTGCAACAGCGCCGTGGCAAGCCACGTGGCCCCTGCATGCATTTTGGCTGCAGCAGCTACCACCCTGACCTGTCTCTTACCAGGACTGTGGAGCGGGTAGTGGGAGTAGGAGTAGAGAAAGGAGCAAGGGAGCAAGGGAACAAGGGACATCCGAACATCTAATGTGAGAAGACAGGCATCCTTCTGTGAGTCATTAAAATCTATGCACCACTCTACAGCTGACTGGAAAATTGCATCTATCTTTGGTTGATGGGAGGACTTAAAGGGTAATATGGGGCATCCAGGTTCTAGTTTGGGGGTTACCAAGCAACGGCGGGCTTAATTACAGTGGTGCACTTCTTAACCAACTAAACCCCAAAGGACGATGGCTTCTCTGCCTTCTGTGGCTCCTGGATCCTGTTGCTAGGTTGAATCTTCCTTAGCAATGAGATTCACTGAGTGGGGTTGCCAGGGTTTTGCGAGCCTGAGTCTGGGTGTGCTCCCCTTTCTCCCATTTGCAACTTGGCTCCCAATAGGACTATTCTGAATTGAGAAAAGAAATGTAAAAAGTGTGGTAGGTAAAAACTGCTTGGTGCCCTACTTACTAACCAGGCCAGGTGAGGCCTCTGACTCTAACCTGAGAGAAACTGAAGAAACAGGGTCTCGGGCCCCATCCCCATGTGCCTCTCCTATCCTTTCTGGAGAGCCCTCAAGCCAGGCTGCACCTTCTTCTTGGCAATACATCAGGGGTGTGGCCTAAATTTGGGATATGAGTTGTTGTGTGCCACCTGGAGACACTGGAAGGGAGGATGAAGACCTGAAAAACCTGTTTCTCCATTTGCCCCAGCCCAGCCTCCCAGGGAACCTCCCTGAAGGATTCCTGTGTAAGGGTGGGAGATTGAGAGTATTATTTCCTGGGAGGTGACCTGACCCTTAGGTCTTCTGATAATAAATGTGCATTTTATCAGACTCAGACATTTATTACTCAAAACGGAAAGAGGTCAGTATGGGGGATGGGGTACGTATGGGAGCCTGTACAGTGAGGTCATCAGGTCCTTGTGGGAGCCTTCACTGAGGACAAGACAGAAGCCCCATTTCAGGCCCAGATCCCAATCCCTTCTCAAGAAGGGGACAGTAGAGTGTAGGAAGCAAAGTGGGGAGCCCTTCTAGGAGCCAATGGAGGCCCTGGAAGGAAGTGGGAAGGGACCTGGAAAAAGCAGTGAAGGGTGTGAGGCGGGAAGGATAGATGAGGAGACCTCTCGGAACAGTGTTTAATTAAAGAAAAGGGAGCTAGGGAGAGACTATTCTGTAAAACCAGGGGATACGGAGACACAGGGAGAGAGGCTCAGGCCAAGGCAGGTGGGAGGAGGGGCAGCCAATGGAATGAGTCTCAGTGCAGCAGCCAGAGGCCAAGGCCAGCCAAGGAGGTAAGGAAGACAAGGCCCAGGGCTGGAGTGGGCCGGGGGCCTGCACTGTTGCAGTTGTCCTTGTTGCAGCAGGTGGTATTATATGTCAGGCCCAGCTTGTGGTTGGTTTGGTTGAAGGCCTCCTGACAGGGCTCTTCTGGTGTGCCACAGCGCAGATTGGAGAAAACCCACATCTTACCTAGGGGTGGGAATGGGCAGGGAATCAGCTAGGATGGGCACCTGGCATGCCTGTGTCCACCTCCCCACCCCATCCACCCACCTAGGCTTCCTTCCCTCCCAATTCTGTCCCTGGCCCTCCCCTTCTCTTTTCTCAGTCTGATCTTCCTCCTGCACGTCCTTACCCACCACTCCCCCAGTCCTGTTTCTATCACTTGCTGGCCATAAGGCCCTGGACCTGTTACTCTCTCTCTCTCTCTCTCTTTTTTTTTTTCTTCAAGACAGAGTCTTATTCTTACCCAGGCTGGAGTGCAGTGGTGCCATCTCAGCTCACTGCAACCTCTGCCTCCCGGGTTCAAGCAATTCTCCTGCCTCAGCCTCCCGAGTAGCTGGGATTACAAGCACCCACCACCATGTCTGGCTAATTTTTGTATTTTTATAGAAATGGGGTTTCACCACGTTGGCCAGGCTGGTCTTGAACTCCTGACCTCAAGTGATCCACCTGCTTTGGCCTCCTAAAGTGCTGGGATTACAGGCATGAGCCACCATGCCCGGTTGTGTTACTGTCTCTTTTTGAGGCCGTTTTCTCAATATAATAATAGCAACCATATCACAGGGTTGTCATGAACACTAATTGAAAAAAAGACATGCAAAGACATAGAATGTTGCACACAATCATCTTTGGCCAGATATTATCATTGCTATAATCCTCTGCTTCTCTGTCTCAGTCTTAGCCCCATTTGGGCCTCAATCCTGGCCATAGAGTCTCCCACCTTCCTGCTCTCCCCACTAAGGAAGGGGATGTTACCAAGGTACGCATGTGTTGTCAGGCATTGTTGTCCTGGCTCCAGGCGGCAGGACTGCCGGTCCACACAGCCCAGCACAGGGACCTTGTAGCAGGAGTGACAGCGAATGTCAGCTGGGAAGACACAAGTCAGGCTGAGGTGGTCTCTGACTTACCTGGGGATAAGCTGAGCTGGGGGCGGGGGTGGAGGGTGGAGCCCATCACGTAGGTGCTCTAACCCGTTTGGCTGTTTGGTCTAGTAAGCACAGAGCAGGTGAGTGATGCAGGGAAAATGGAAAGTAGGCGGCAGGTAAGGGTAGAGTTGTTGCTTTGTGAAAGACCCACGCCCTACATATCTTCCTTCACTCCACCCCGTTTGGAGATGAGTCAAGAGGGACAGAGCTATGAACAAAAACATGGGGCTGGAGATAGATGGAATGTGAGGAAGATACCATGGGGAAAGAATGTGGGTGGTGAAGGAGGAGATGGAAACTTAAAAGAAGAAGAAATAATAAAAATGAAAATCATGACTGTTACAACACTGTCAGAAATGTCTTGGAACTTGAGGTTGGGGAGAAAGCCATTTGTGGCCAGCTTTAGCAATTTACAATTTACTCTTCACCTCCTGGAGCTGGCAAGAGTGTGGGAAGAGGAACCAGACCTGAATAGAATCCTCTCACGCCAGTAGCTCTTCAGCAGAAAGGAATGATACCTGAGAGACAGATCACCAGATTCCATCTTAGCACTTTATCAAAATGGAGAGGGTGGATACAGAAGGCGGTACCCCAAAGTTCCTGCTTCAGTTAATTCAAGGTTTGGGCAGGCAAGTTTGGTGACGCAGGGTCCAAGGGTGGAGGAGCCTGGTAAATGCACCTCAGTGAAATCCACCTCACCCTGGAGGTGAGTGGCCCAGGTGTCCCCTCTTCAGAAGGTTCACGAAAATGCTCTATCTCCATGGAGGCTCTTAGATGTCACTGCAACCATCTAGAAAGCTTGTATCCCTGGTAGGGGAGTGGGTATGCAACCCAGGAGGGGAGTAGAGGGTATCTAGGAAAGGCCATGGCTGAGGGACTGAACATCTGAGTCCCTGATGGAGTAGATGGGGAGGGTGGGCTACAAAAGGAGCCTGGAACTGGATGCCTAGGTCTTTGAGAGGACAACTTACTGAGCACAGCAGATAGAGGAGAAGGCAGGTAAGCTAGATTCTGGAGAGCTGCATATTGAAGTGGGGCTGGTTGGGGAACTGGATACCAGAGTTTCCAAAGAGGGGACACCCTGGAGTGGGGAACAGGGGACCCAGAGCCCTGGCAGGTGAGAGAAATGGGTCTGTCTTGGAGGTGGGGAGGATGGATAGAGACCTGGCATTTTGAGAAACAGAGCAAGGAGGCTGTCATAGGGAAGCCTGGTCTTGGTGGCATAGGAGAGCTGAGCCAGTTGGGGCTGGGGGTGTTGGGATCCCAAGTGGTGGGTAGGGCAGGGAAGTGGGTAAAGCAGGGTGTAAAGGTCCTGACCAGGCAAACCAGGTCCTTGGGGCCCCCAGGTGCTCACCTGAGACCCAGCAGAGCAGAGCAGACAGGGTGAGCAGCAAAAGGGCTTTCATGGCGAGGGTCCTGAGAATGGTGGCAACCACAGCAGCTGCTAAAGTAGAATCCAGCTCTGGGAGTTGAGTGGCCTTTTTGGAACTTATAAACCTAAAGGCTCCTCCCTTCACTGCCTCTGATAGCCCCTCCCTTCCCACTTACTACACAGCTGACCAGAGAAAAGACAAGGGGTGGGGAGGCACTGAGCAGGACAGAGTGGGAAGTAGGGATGGGAGAGAGGGATGGGGGAGGGCAGGTGCCACTAGTGGCCAATGCCATTGTGGTTCTTGGTTTCAGGCCAAGATGCCCTTCCTGGCCCCCTGCTAACAGTCCTGCTGCTGAGTCCTCTGAAGGAGCATCATCAAAGGCCTCTGTGATTTACAGTGTCCATGGTGGTAGCTTCTGCTGGTTCCTGGGAAATGGACAAAAGGATGAGGCCCAAATTAATTGCTGAATTTGGGTCCCTGGGTCCCTGCTGGACATTGATAGGGACATGCTGGTGGAAATTGGGGATGGAATGGGTCAAATTAATCTCCATTCAGGCCCCACTCGGTCTTTCCAATGCCTGCTCAGCCATCAGTGACTCACTGATGGCTTCTGTGATGCCATAGCAGCAGAGGCAGGGGCTGGGGCTACTCATCTAGGGGAGCCACCACAGGTCTGCTAAGTAGGGGCTGCCTCAGGCTCCCATGAAGGTTCTCAGGACGTCACCTCGGCTCCACTTGCACTTGGTGTGACCTTGTTGCTCCAGTCCAGCAGCAGCAATTGTCCTAGGTGTGGCTGTGTGCACCTGCTCCAAAGCACCTCCCCAATCAAAACCTGCCAACTTGGGCAGGGCACCAAGGCAGGAGGAACAGCATGGGCACAGAGAGGTGAGGTAGAAGCTAAAATAAGAATAGAAATAGTAGGCTGGGGGTGGTGGCTCATGCCAGCAGTCTCAGCACTTTGGGAGGCCGAGGTGGGTGGATCACAAGGTCAAGAGATCAAGACCATCCTGGCCAACATGGTGAAACCCCGTCTCTACTAAAAATACAAAAATTAGTTGGGTGTGGTGGTGTGCGCCTGTAGTCCCAGCTACTCGGGAGGCTGAGGCAGGAGAATCACTTGAATCCAGGAGGCAGAGGTTGCAGTGAGTCGAGATTGCACTCCAGCCTGGCAACAGAGCAAGACTCTGTCTCAAATAATAATAATAATAATAATAATAATAATAGAAATAGTAATAATAATGGCAAGTACTTACATAGTGATCCTATGTATTCTAAGCAGTTTACATGCATTACTTTATTTCGTTATCACAATACCCTACAAAATAGGGATTTTTGTTGTTGTTGTTGTTGTTTTTGAGACAGGGTCTGGCTGGCTCTGTCGTCCAGGCTGGAGTGCAATGGCCTGATCACAGTTCACTGCAACCTGGACCTCCTGAGCTCAAGCGATCCTCCCTCCTCAGCCTCGTAAGTAGCTGGGATTACAGGCGCGCCTGAAAAGTTAAGCAGGCAAAAGCGTTTGTGTAAATGGCCCGAGCACACATTTTAAGTGAGCACCATCTGAGGACTCTGAGTTTGCCTGCGAGGATTCCCAAAGGGATCTGGGTAGTTGGTGGCCCCGCCCCCTCTCTTATCGGAGCCCCCCAGCCCCTCCGTTCTCCTCACCCCCAACTTCCCTCCGGTCCCCCCCTAACCCGCCCCACGCCGCTGATTCGCTCGCAGCTTCTCCTCACCACATCCCAACCATGGCTGTGTTTCTGCAACTGCTACCGCTGCTGCTCTTGAGGGCCCAAGGGAACCAAGGGGGTAAGAGATCCCTGGGAGAGTTGTGATAGATGCAGAGGGGCTAAAGCAAGAAAGGGGCCGCCTAGTAGGGTGGGTTGTGTGTGGGAAGATCCAGGATGGCTGGAGTGCAGAAGAGAGAAGAGAAAGAGGAGACGGGATGGGGGGTCGTCTTGCCCTATGGACCGGCCCTAACCACAGCCTCCGGCCTCTCCTAGCTTCTCTGGACGGCCGCCCTGGGGACCGGGTGAATCTCTCTTGCGTAGGAGTCTCTCACCCCATCCGCTGGGTCTGGGCGCCCAGCTTTCCGGCCTGCAAGGGCCTCTCCAAAGGACGCCGACCGATCCTGTGGGCCTCTTCGAGCGGGACCCCTACCGTGCCTCCCCTCCAGCCTTTTGTAGGCCGCCTTCGCTCCCTGGACTCTGGTATCCGGCGGCTGGAGCTCCTCTTGAGCGCGGGGGACTCGGGCACCTTTTTCTGCAAGGGCCGCCACGAGGACGAGAGCCGTACAGTGCTTCACGTGCTGGGGGACAGGACCTATTGCAAGACTCCCGGGCCTACCCATGGTAGGTCCAGGCCTGTGCGCACAAGGGAACTTAACTCCGACACATACCCGGAGGAGGGAAGAGGATGGAAGAGGGCCTTGGCTGGGGGTTCTTGAGCGGGAGAGCTGGCTCTCTCTCTGTCAAACCCCTGACCTCAGCATCCCTCCCTGCCATGCCTTTCCCCCAGGGTCCCTGTATCCCCAGCTCCTGATCCCGCTGCTGGGCGCTGGGCTGGTGCTGGGACTGGGAGCTTTGGGCCTGGTCTGGTGGCTGCACAGGTGAGCAGGAGGGACCTGGCCTGGTTAAATGGGACTGACCAGAGGTGGAAAGAGCAGGACCAGAACCTTCGCAAAAGAAAGAGCTAGACCTAGAGCTCTGGTCCTGTCTTGGCGAAGAATGGGAGAGGTCAAAGGTGGGAGCGAGGCTGCTGGCTGGTGAGTAGAGCCCAGCCAGAGGAGATGAGCTGGAAGTGCAGCAGAGTCAGATCCTGGGCTGGACTGTCGGTGGGGGTAGAGTCTAAGTTGTTTCTGGTCTGAGCCTTCAAGTTGCTGGACTGTCCTTGGCGTGGCCTGAGTCCCAGGAGAACCAGTGAGACAAGACTGGTGGCTCTCAAAGACTCATATGTCCCTTACAGGCGCCTGCCCCCGCAACCGATTCGACCACTCCCTAGATTTGGTGAGACTAACTCCACCCCATTTTCTTTCTCCTACACACCCACTCCCCACCCCTCAATTCCTAAGTCTGAGCCCTTGCTGGGAACAGACATGTTGGTCACCTTCTCTCCATCCTTCAGCTCTGTCCCCCCCACATAGCTCCACTTGTGAAAACCGAGCCCCAGAGGCCAGTAAAGGAGGAAGAGCCCAAGATTCCAGGGGACCTGGACCAGGAACCGGTAAGGGCATGGGGATGGGAAGGGGATGGCCAGAATCTCTGAGGAATATGGACCAAAAAAAAAAAAAGGCCTGAACCCCAAGGGAGACTGTGGAGACCATCTTGTCTTCCTGCCCTTCCTCCTCCAGAGCCTGCTCTATGCGGATCTGGACCATCTAGCCCTCAGCAGGCCCCGCCGGCTGTCCACAGTGGACCCTGCTGATGCCTCCACCATCTATGCGGTTGTAGTTTGAAGGGAAGCCCTTACTCCAAACCTCCCAAGCTAGGGGATCCCAGCTACCCATAATCCCTCTCCCCTCCTTGGTCCCTCACCTGGAAGAGGAAGGCACCATGGTATAGAAATAAGTGCTAGACTGGGAGTCGGGAGACCTGGGCTCTAGGCTGTCTCTGCCACCGATCTTACTCCTAAACTTACTCACATCTCTCCTATAACCTCCATGTCTCCCTCACCACCGGTGTCGTCTGTATATCCAATCAAGCCCTAGCTCCTATCTCACGACATCAAAAGTCCCAGACAGTTGCCTTATCTCTTCCCTTCCCTTCACAGTCAAGCTTTGGAACCAGGGGCATACACCTGCCTCTTCCATTTTCTTCTCCTTCACTTTATCCCCACTGCTCATCTGTTGAAATTGCTTATCTGCTCTCCATAAGATTGCCAGTAACGTCCTAATAGTCACACCCAGTAGACATTTTTAGCATTCATCTGGTTTGGTCTCCGATTACTCCATTCCTTTTTTTTTTTTTTGAGATAAAGTCTCGCTCTGTCGCCCAGGCTGGAGTGCAGAGGCATAATCTCGGCTCACTGCAAGCTCCGCTTCCCGGGTTCACGCCGTTCTCCTGCCTCCGCCTCCTGAGTAGCTGGGACTACAGGCGGCTGCCAAGACGCCCAGCTAATTTTTTGTATTTTTGGTAAAGATGGGGTTTCACTGTGTTAGCCAGGATGGTCTTGATCTCCTGATCTCGTGATCCACCCGCCTCGACCTCCCAAAGTGCTGGGATTATAGGTGTGAGCCACAGCTCCCGGCCTGATTACTCCATTCTTTAAACTCTATTTTACTTTGTTGCTGGTGTTTTCTTTTTGGACTCCTCTTCCTTGCTCCATATCCCTACAGTATTCCCCATCATTCTAGGTTTGTCCCTTTCTGTTCTTCTGGGACACTCTTATCCACAGTCAGTCCTCAGCCCCCACCTCTGCAAATGACACCGAGAACTCTGGCTCAGATCTCAGATTTGGGATTAACAAACTTCCCCTTAGACATTCTGCCTGACTGACCTCAGGCATTTTGCACTCCGAATGTCAAACCCAACTCATTGTCATCTCTGAAGCTGCTCACTTAATTCTCCTCTGCATTCTCTTTAACAACCCAGTTGCCCAACCTAGAAACTGGGAGTCATGCAGACCTCCTTCCTCTCTTACTCCCACACAGTGAGCCATAAAGTCCAGTCTTTCTATCTTAACATCACTGTCAAACCCACACTCTATTCCATGACCAGTGCTGCCAAGTGAATGTACTCTCCTCACTTCCTTCCTGGATTACCCATAGCCCCACCTCATCCTCCTACCCTAGATTTCCTCCCTGAAGTCAGAGAGATGCTACTCAAGAGATAACTGCTTCTGACAGCCCTTATTACAGAACTGAAGTACTCTCCTTAGCTTCAGCTCTGTGCCCACATGCCTTGGCTTTGGATACAACATACTACAGCACTTTGTCCACTCTCCAGGCTTATCTCTGTCACTCCACATGCACATCTTAGAAAATGCCAGCCTTAAGAGAATTCTCCCTAGCCCCAAAATGTCTTTGCCCAGTGCAATTCCTTCTTTCTGTAGTACCGCTTTCCCTCCTCCACACTATCTGCCTGGCTAATTCTTATTTATCCTCAGTTCAAGTGTGGCCTTCTCTGGGAAGCTGATCCTCCTGGCCCACCCCTTGTATATACTTTGATGCCCTAGGGCACACCCCCTTTATTTCCCTCATAGAAACAGCCTTCTGTAAATTGTTCCATCACATCACAACCTGTATTTCAATTTGTAAGAAATTTGCATGTACTGTGAGCTCCCCACCATCAGGAGACCAACCCTTTTGATATCATTACTAAGCCTCAGTAAATGAATGAATGAAAAATGAATGTTCCTGGAAGTGTCATTTCTTTTTCTTTATCAAATAGGGGTGGACTGGTAATCTACCAGTCTCTGAATCATCTGACTTTTAGATAAATTCAGTGAGCAATCCATCCGTACACTCTTTTCTCTGCCCTAGACACACTTCCCACGATAGAAATTCTGTCTTGTCCATCTTTTGCGCAAGTTCCTATGACATGGTTGGGCAATGAGTTGGTAAGTATCTAACAAGTTTTTTGAATGAGAGGCCTTCTTCCCTGCACTGACCCCCAACCCCAGGTTTCAGCCCTGCCTTATCCCTTTGACCCAGTAAGACACCAGTCACAGCCCAGTCTAAAAGGTCAATTCTATTTTATTGGTTCTGAGAGGGAGGACTCACCCAGTGGCCCCTATCCTTTTCCCTACACTCTGCCCTCCCCCCATATTGAGATTCTCTCCCAACTACTGCCTACTTAGCATTCTCTATCTAACCCTCCTTCCCTTTCTGCTCCCTATACTATCCTACCCCTGGCCAGCAGTACCCCAAGGCCAGGCCCTCAGCTGTGGGGGCGTGTGCTGAGCACCAAGCAGAGGGAGCTGAGCCCGGCGCCAGCCTTCTCCAGTTCTGAGCAGGACACAGGTACCAGGGTGACATCAGAGAGCTTCTGCAGTGCCTGCACAGGGAGGACATGGAGTGGGGAGAGGGTAGTGAGACCTCAGGCTGAGCCAGGCCACTCTTCCAGCCAGCTCAGAGTGGCCCCACCCAGGCTTCTAGAGAAGGTACCCTTCCTCCCACTAGGAAAGCCTGAAACTCTTTTCTCTGATGGTGCTTGGTGTTGGAGTTCCTGCCCTCCCTCACCTCCTGGCTGTTGGGCAGATCCCCACCTCCACGGTGCAGGAGGAAAGGGGGCACACCAGGCAACCCAGGACGAAGAAAGAGACAGTCAGCAGCTGCGTCATCTGGGAGGGTCAGGGAAGCATATGGGTGATCAGTCAGTACTGCCATTGCCTGGAGGAAAAAGGAAGTGTTGCAGTCTCAGAACCTCACCACAGCTAAGTCCGCCTGCTCAACCACCACTAAGGGCTAGGGAAAGACTGACATTTGTGCATAATAATGACGGCAAGCACATAGAGCTTACTGTATGTCAGACACTAAGTACTTTAGTTACCTTTGCTAATTTCCACCTTGGAATCACATGCAGTTATTTTCAACCCCCTACCTTCCCCAGCCCCTCCCCTTATCTGTCCTATCCATCCTTAGAGTAACAGTTTAGGTGCCAACTTTGGGGTTTCCTGAAACTCCGGAATAGCAAATTAATCACCCCTGTTCCTAGTCCCGCTGTTGTAACTTCTTATTTACTCGTGTGTTCTTTCATATAAGATGGACAGCCCAATGAGGGCAGGGGTTGGGGCTAATTTCCTAAGCCTCCTAGCTCCCTGCCTCCCGGGCCCAGAACCGCGCCCACTTTCGTTGGCCCCGCCCCCTCCTCACCCGGACAGCCTTTTGGGCAGCTTCGCTGCTGCCTGCCACAACAGTGCGAGGTCCCCCCATGCCGCAGAGACCACGCAGGTGTGAGGGACCCGAGACCGGCACAGTGGAGACGGCGAAGTCCTAGGGAGAGCGAGGGGAGGTTTTCAGGGGCGCGGGAGGGGTGATGGGATATCCTCAAACATAGGCTGCTCTGTGCCTCTCATTTTCCCCAGCGGGCTCCCAGGCCTTTCCGACCCCCCACCTGCACCCCGCTCCCTCCCTAGGCGGGTCCCGCTCCGCACCCGGAACGTATCGGCCACGATCTCAGCTCCTCGGTGATTGGTCCATTTGGAGAGGCCTACGAAAAACTCCCGGCCTGAGTCCGGGAGGCCGCGGAGGTTTGAGGGCGGGAATGAGTTGGAAACAAGGCTCGAGACGGCCGAGTCTCCCAAACTCTACTTCCCTGTGCCAAGACCCAGCTGGTGCCGCCCACCAGACTCACCGGTGAAGAGAACGTCAGTGCCATCCAGCGTCGCGTTCTCGTCT